TAAACCTGTATCTTGCCAAAGAGTGGGTGGGTTTGAACCTTGGTTGCCTAGTTACAGCGTCTCTTTTCTGGAAGCCTGGTTTCTCTGGCTTCCGATTGGAGAGAATTGGGTGGGAAGGCCACAGAAAGGCGGGGTTATGGTGGCGTTTTGTTTCTGATTACCTGTGCCACCACCAAACCATGCTGGTTCTTACCTCTCCGGCAGGGTTCTGTGATGTAACAAATGAAAATACCCAAATAAAAGGTCAAATCAAATTAAAAAAATTTTTGAATATCAGGTAAATATTTTTATATATATGTCTCAAATATTAGGGACTTTACTAAAACATTATTCGTCATTTATCTGAAATTCAAATTTAACTGGGCATTTTGTTGTTTTATCTGGCAACCCTACACTCCGGAGAAAGAAATCTGGGATCTGACCTCATATATCAATTCCCGCTCAAACTGGTTCAACTAGCTGTGGTGGTGCTTTGCCAAGAGGATGATAAGTCAATGGGAGTGGTCCGATCCAGCCTTCACAGTCGATACTTGCAGTTCCCCAGCCCTGCCCTATAGACACTTTAGAGAACAAATGTCTTCCTGAACACCGTCACCCGCACTCCTTTTAAGCTTGTAGAAAACCTGTTCATCCCTGAAGATTTCAGCTCCTTTCTGACGCCCTCCCCAAACATCGAGAGAATTAAATTCTCTATCTTTTGTATTTTGATAGTACTTTGGTCGTATGCTGGTATACCATTTGCCAGGTGATATTCAAGTTGTTAGCCTGACTGCCATCCCCCTTCCTCCTCAATCTGATCCTTAAAGACTTGTGTCTTTTTGGAATCTTATATGGACTTCTTTCTGAAAACTGGCAATTATATTTGCTTGCTAAATGTCTGCCTTCCCAGCCTGTAAATAAGCTGAGGTAGGGTCTCTTCCTGGTAATAGACATTGAATAAGTTTTGGTTACACTGATGAATTTTTAAATCTAATACCAACACATTCCCTGACACATATTGTATAATATAATGAAAATATTTCAGTGAATCTTATAAAAATTACAGTGCAGTGATATAATTCAAAGAGCATTTTGGTTGTAAGATTTCAAGTGTATTAATGAGTTAACCTTAATGAATAAGGCACGAGTAGGAACAGATATTCTGCACTGTGTTAATATTGAAGCATCAGGGAATAAAGGGATACTTATTCAAGCTAAATAATTTAAAGTTGGCTTCACAGATAACACCAACACTACCAGACGGTACAACATTGCTTTGGTCTCCTGTTCATTTTTGCAAGAGGTTTTAAGACAAAGAGTATGGATAGACATCCTGAAAGGTATAAACGAGGGTTAAGCCTCATTTTTTGAGCCCCTGGCTTGCCACTGCTATAGTTCTGATCACAACATACTTTTGTAATTCTACCATGAATCTTCTAAGATCTTGATGCCAATACTCCTTCAAAAGAATTGTGATCTTTTTTCAAAACAGAACAAATATTTTCTATCTTTATTATCAAACATTTACTGAGTGCCTACTCTGTAAAAGGCCGTGTGGGCAATAGAAGGAATAATAAACATAGTCCCTGTGTTTTAAAAGCTTTTTTATCTTTCTTAGCTTTTCTATACCTTTTACCAATAGTATAAAGGGATCCGTTTTTCTTGAAAGGTTCTTTGTGTTTTAAATACTGTAGAATAGGTTGACCTTTATAAATATTCATAAAGGCACACTGTTGCTGAGTCTCTCTGGGGAACGAGGTTGAGAATACTGCAGGCTGTTCCAACAAAGTCTATGGGTTCCAATAAAGTCTGAAAACATCGAACATTCATCACGTTCCAGTCTCTGACCTAGGCACTGAGTGTTAAAAGGCAAATAAATCACGCTTCACAATCTCATGTGGATACAAGACTCCAGTTCTAATCAATTAAACCTTAAGCAGAGGTCTCTAAGGCTATTTTCTAAAAGTCAAAAGTAAGTTGTAGCAGCAGGATTAAGCTATAAATCATAGGATAACTCTAATTTTAGTTTTCTGCCTAAATGTATAGAATCGAGGTATGCCTTTAGGGAATTTCCTTAGAAAACACTAAAAGTAGACTAAAATACTTACATGCAGTGTATTCTGATTACACTTAATAAAACATGAGGGCAATCAGTACCAGTTATAGTATAAAATGACCTATAAATGGAGGTGTAAAATAAATGTGGATATCACCTTCCCTTGAAATTCAGCTCTTTGCAGATACATATGTAAATTAACTCCCCTGGATAACGTTGGAGTGGGAAGGCAACACTGTTGTATTGAGAGTCTCCTATCTATGTACAAGGCACAAGGCAAGGAATATCTGGCATAAGTTTTATTCCCAAGGAACTAAGACAAAATTAAGGCATATGCAAATATCTATGATAAAAGGTAGAAAGTGATACATGCCATAAGAGAAATACAAGAAAAATGCTGGGAGTTTGGAGAGGAAGAATATTTCTAGCTGCCAGAATTTGGCTAGTAGAAACAAAGGGTGCTTACGCAACTGTTGGCAGCAAGAACATTCCAAGAACGTGAACAAAGTACAGAGACAGGTGATGACTTTCCAGTGAACACTGTTGTGCAATTATACAGGGAAAGAAAAGGGGAAGGGTTCAGACAAAGAGAGGGTGGCATTTCCAGGCAAGATTGGAGCAAACTGGTAGAGGATCTCGTTAAGGAAAATAGACTTGAGGTTGAGCCAGACTTCCAGCCAAGATGATGTTTTCAGTTAATATTTTGAGACTCCTCACTCCTCGTTCTGCTTTAAATGGAAAAAGAATAGACATATCAATGAGAAAATTAAAATGCTACAGCAGTGATTTAAAAAAGAACATAAACACTTCTCTGTATCAGAAACGGAACCACAATGCAAATGGTAATCAGACCAAAGCCATGTAGATCCTGGACTCTGTATGTGGAAGGAGGAAGACATGAACCAGGGCTCAGCTCTTATGGAATAATAGAGACTGACAGGGCTCCGCGTGCAGCTAGAGATAGAAACCAGGCTTGTGGGAGATTTACATTGGTGGCCTTCAATGAACCGCTTTCCAATGTTCGCACCCTTGTCTAATCCCCTTCCACACTGACTCTGGGCTTGGCCGTGAGCCTTGTTTGGCCAATGGGACATCGGTAAATGAGATACAGAAGAAACTTAATGGCCAAGGGCTAGGCCGTGAAGAAGCTGGCAACACACTGAATAATGAAAAGCCACATGGAGAGAGGCCCTGGAAAACAAGAGCTCATTGTGTGCATTCTGGTGGCAGATGAGTTCCCATTCCCTGGTCACAAAATCAATGCAAAACTCCGTTATTTATTAAATAATTATTCATTAGGTACCCTCTAATAAATAATTATTTGTTAAATAATTATTCATTAGGTACCTATATGCAAGGTGTTCTCACACTGAGGACTGAGTAAATTAGACAAAATCTAGCTCTTGTTGACCAAAGGACCAAATCCATTAAGCTCACAATTTTCGCCAAACTATTACTTCCCTTAAAAGCCTTTAAATGGATTATTCATGTCATCTCCTTTATCGAGTATCTCAGACTGTATTTTAATCTCATCCAGCTCTAGCCATTATGCTGTCCAATACGTTTCCATTTCTACAGAGCCTCCCACCACACTGCTTTAGTCACCGATTTATGATCTGTGCTGTCATATTAAGACATTCTCTGGCCTGTGGCTTAAATAATTAGGGATATCAGGCATCACTGGCAGTTATTGTTTGCTTTAATCTCTTGGGGCTTCTCACATATTTTTATTTTGCAACAAGTTGAGAATTATCAGCCCACATCCCAAAGCTATTAGTATAACAGATATTCCTGTACAATGACCAGAGAATTCTAATATGGCAATAGGCCAGTCACCCCACCTCCGCCCTGAGGACCAGCCCCATCCCAGCTCAAACCCAGACTCAGGAATCCAAGTGCAAATCTCTTGGTGGTTATTGGGACTTCGGGGAGAATCAAGGGGAGGGGTTTTAGAAGTGCAAAGGCAGATCACAAATAGTTTTGTCCTAACCCAGAATTCTCGATAATATCTCCATTTAAATGGCAATTAGAAAGTCAGAACCACCAACCAAAACATGGTTTGAGTTGGTTTCAGGGCAGGCCCAGGAATCCAGGATAAACCAAGAACTTTACTCAATCATGCTTCTCTCCTTCAGGATAATCCCTTAAATTTATAAAGTACCTTGAAGTTTTTAAACTGTTTTCACTTATAGTATCAAGTGAAATGAGGAACTCTGAGATACAGGGAGATGAGATTATCATCCACATCCGATAGGTGAGAAAGCTGAGCCCCATGAGGTTGCTTAGCCTCATATTACGATTAGGGGGCAGAGCCTGTCCTTAAACTCAGGTCTTTTTGCCTTGGCCAGGATTCAGCTTCTCTTTTTATCAGTCAAGGATAAACAAAGTGACTCCTTTAACTGTGTGGTGTCCTTGAGCTGTTTTCTGCCCCAGCTCTCGAGAGAACTTAACCAGATACTATGGAGGAGGAGAGAGTAGTAGAAACTGAATAGAGGGGCAAAGCAAGGAGTTGATTACTAATACATTTAAGAAACTAAGTTATGTGCGAGAGCTTGCAGAGGCCTGAGAATCAAATAGTAAAACTAGAAGGACTAAGACCTGTTGGCATCAAGGTCATAAAGTGAGGGCAAGAGGAACGGTGACAGGAGAGGAGGAATGACTGGGCCAATAGTAGTAAATGACGAGGCAATGGTAACGGCAGCAGAGTGGGGACTGGTTCCATAGCCAGGCCAGGCCGGGCCAGTTGACATCAGCTGTGTCGCCAGGGTAGGGACTGAGAACTAAAGCCGGGAAAGGAGCAGAGGACCTAGAGCCATGGAGACCTTCAGAGAATGAGGGGAGAACTCGGGAACTGGTTAAAAAGCCTGAGAGGGAAGGCACGGATTGGCCCAG